AGGGGGTCCAGCTGTGCAGGGGTCCTGGTGTGAGGGGATCAAGATATGCAGGGATCCTGGTTTATGGGGATCCTGGTTTATGGGGATCCAGGTACACAGGGGGTCCAGCTGTGCAGGGGTCCTGGTGTGAGGGGATCAAGATATGCAGGGATCCTGGTTTATGGGGATCCTGGTTTAGAGGGATCCAGGTACACAGGGGGTCCAGCTGTGCAGGGGTCCTGGTGTGAGGGGATCAAGATATGCAGGGATCCTGGTTTATGGGGATCCTGGTTTAGAGGGATCCAGGTACACAGGGGGTCCAGCTGTGCAGGGGTCCTGGTGTGAAGGGATCAAGATATACAGGGATCCATTTGTGGATCTCCTACTAGATGGAGATCCAGTTGTGCAGGGATCCTGGTGTAAGGGGATCCAGTTGTGCAGGAATCCAGCTGTGCAGGAATCCTGGTGTAAGGGGATCAAGATATACAGGGATCCAGTTGTGTGGGGACCCTACTAGATGGAGATCCAGCTGTGCAGGGATCCTGGTCTCTGGGGATCCAGCTGTGCAGGGATCCTGGTCTGTGGGGATCCAGCTGTGCAGGGATCCAGCTGTTCAGAATCCAGCCCTTTGGGGTTGGGGCTATGGGGGGGACCTGGCCGTGCTGGATCTGGGGGCTGGGGACGGACCCCCATCCCTGATGTTCTTCTGCACAGCCTTGGGGGTGCTGCCCCCCCAAACCCCCCCGAGTGTCCCCACCAGCCCTCGGTGTCACCCCGTGTCCCCTCCAGCTGTGACACACACACGTGTCCACCCCCACCACCCCATAAATCCACCCCCACCTCTCCTTCCTCCGCCTTTATTGGAGTCACTGGGGATCCAAAACACGGGGGGGGGGATGAGGGAGCCCCCCCAGGCCAGCCCTGCTCCCAGAGCACGGGTGGGGACAGGAGGTGACACCTCAGGGGGACTCGGGTGTCCGTCAGCCCCGGTGTCACACGGGGGGGTCGGTGGTCCCATCCTGCTCCGGGGGTCCTGCTGGGGGGAAAAGGAGGGTGAGGACGGAATCGTCTCCCTCTGGGGGTGGAGGGACAAGGATGGAGCCTCTCGGGGGCTGGGACACACCCGGGACACACCCAGGACTCACCTGGGACTCACCTGGGACTCTCCAGGTCACACCTTCGCCTGCACCTCGCAGTAGATGGTCCTGGGCCCGTCCTGCTACTCGAGGGCAGAAAACAGGTCAGACCCTCGGGAAGGGGGGTGGGCGAGGTGGGACAACTCCCCCCAGGGACTTAGTGGCCCTGGGAAGTGTCCCCTTCGGTGTCCCCTGCCCGGGGAAGCCCCCCAGGAGTTCGGAGCCACTTCCAGGGGAGGAGGAAAGGGGGGCTCTGGGGGCACAGAGGGACCCCCCAGTCCTGGAGGGAAGGGGTGGAAGGTGGAGTTGGACTCAGAATGAACCAGATTTGCCCCCGGATTCCCCCCCCCCAGGCTCACCCACTCCCGAGGCTCCAGGGAGTTTCTACTCTGGATCTCGGAGTACAAGAGCTCTGGTGGGGGATCCTCGCTGGAGAGGGGGGAGAGGGCACCTACAGAGAGAAGAATAGCAAGAGGAGTGATCCCAGGGATGCCAGAGGGAGCTGGGACATGTAGAAGGGGGGCATGGAGCCATCCTGGCCTAGGCAGGGCAGGCAGAATCCCAGAATCCCAATTTAGGTTGGAAAAGACCCCTGAGGTCATCGAGTCCACCCTGTGCCGTGTCCCCACCTCGGCCCCAGCCCAGAGCACTGAGTGTCCGGCCCTTCCTTGGACACCTCCAAGGCCTGACCGCCCTTTCCAGGAACAAATCCCTCCTCGTGTCCCACCTGAACCTCTCCTGGGGCAGCCCGAGGCCGTTTCCTCTTGTCCCTGTTCCCTTCCAGTGCCTGACAACCCTTTCCACAAAGAAAAGAACCAGAGTGAGGGGAAAAGCTCTCTCCCCCTTTCCCAGCTCTGCTGATCCCAGCTCTGAGCTCAAAGCCCAGCGGTGCCCACCTCCCTCAGACTTCTTCCTCCTCCTCCTCCTCCTCCTCCTCCAGATCCAGGCGATGCCAAGCAGGGCCAAAATGCCCACGGCCACCAGCACCAGGCACACGTGTCTCCTCTGACAGGCCCCCGTGTCTGCAGGGACAAGCCGTGGTGGGTGCCGGGGGGGGTGAATTCACCTCCTGGGGGGGAGAATCCGGGCACAGGAGGGGTTTTTTACCCTGCTGCTGGCACAGGGTGTCCAGGTGGACGGAGACACTCCGCTCCTGGGCGGGATTCCGGGCCAGGCAGGTGTAGGTGGAGTTGAAGGCAACGACGGGCAGGGCCAGGCACAGGGTCTGGTTGTCCCCGCAGAGCTGTGCCTGTGGCACCCCCAGAGAGCCGCCGAGCTGCCAGGTGACCGCGGCATTGCTGCCCGGGGGCGCCTGGCACCGCAGGGTGAGGTTGCACTCCCGGGGGGTGAGGGAGAGCCGCTGCCCCTGGATCTGCGGCTCCGGCACCGGATCTGTCGGAGGAGCAAACAAACCTGTCCCACGGCCCGGGGAGGGAGAGGTGGAAGGGCAGAGCGAGGAAAAGGGGAAGCGCCGGGGCCGCGGTTGGTCCCGGAGCCGGGACAATCCCCGTGACGGGCGCGCGGCACCCGGAGCGGTTTCCCTTCCCCTTTCCCAGCGCTCACACCTCCGGGTGCCGGGGGTTGTAAAGCCGCTTCCAGGAACTGCTGCTCTGCAAACAAACCCACCGTAGACGGAGAGGGCGAAGAGCTGTGTCTCCACGATCGCCGGGGGCAGTTTAATCCGAGCCTCGTAGAGGCCGCTGTCGCCCCTCTCCAGGGTCCCGATCCTCAGCGCCGTCTTGTTCATCTCCAGCCGGTCCCCGAATCGATCCTGGGGGTCGGAGCGCTCGGGTCCACTGTGGCTGAACTCGCCCACCAAGATCTTGACACTGCTGACATCTAAAAATGTCCACTCGATCGCCTTCACCTTCTTGTCGGGGGGCAGATCCAGGGAGAGCAGCGCGGACCCCCCCAGGACACCGTTCACCTGCCGGGTCTGAGGGGTCGCAGCACCTGGTGGGGACAGGGATAATCTGGAGGCTGGGACAGGGATAATCTGGAGGCTGGAGACCCCCAACACCCCCCCCCCGGTCCCTTCCCTCGGCCCCCTCCCTCCCGAGGGACCCGTGGGCAGCTGCCCACCGGGGCCTGAGTCACGGGAGCGCGGCGCCCGCCCGGGATGATTCATTGAATCCCACACCCATCCCCTCTCCTGGCGGCGTTCCCGGCACGCAGGGACCACCCGCGGGGCTGGGAACACCCCGGGGGCTCGTGGTGCCTCGTCCCGCTGTCCCGGTGTCACCCCGTGTCCCCCCACGTCCCCCCCCCACACACGCTCGGGTCACCCCCACAGCAGGGACGTCACGGTCCCCGTCGTCTCTAAGCCCCAATTAAGGCTCAAACCGGGCAGGTTTAAAGTTAAACCTCCGGGAAATGTCCCCAGGGGTCAGGGACCAGCCGTGGGGCTGGATGTCCCCAGGGTCGGGGGTTGCTGGGGGCCCGCGGTGCCTTGTCCCGGTGTCCCCCCGTGTCCCCCCCGTGTCCCCCTACACGTGCACAGGTCGCCCCCCAAAAAATGGGCGAGACAGGGAGTGTTCTCCCAACTCTAAGCCCAAGTGGGGCTCAAACCGGGCAGGTTTAAAGTTAAACCTCCAGGAAATGTCAGCAGGGGTCAGGGACCAGCCGGGGACCACCCTCAGGGCTGGGACCCCCCCTCCCGGGGTCGGGGGGATGCTGGGGGCTCACGATGCCTTGTCCCAGTGTCACCCTACCCGTGCACAGGTCACCCCCGCGACAGAGGAAACTCCCCTCATCGTGTGGGGCTGAAACCGGGGCGGGTTTCGGGTTTAAACCTTCGGAAAACTTCCCCCGTGGTGGGGACGGGGACCCTCCACCCCAGCGCTCTGGGGCAGCTCAGCTACGCCGCCTCCCCCCCCCCCATCCCTGGGGGGCACCGAGTGGCTCCACTCGGGCTCTGAGACCCCGAACGCCGCCAGGAGCCCCCCGCAGCCTCCCCCGGGGGCAGCGGCAGACGGTTCCCACACCGCAGCCCCGTCCTGCCCGCGGGCCGCTCGCTCGGCGCCGGCCCCGCTCTCGCTCTCTCCGCAGCCACTCGGCTTTGCAGAGACGGAGGCGAGACGAGGGGGAAAAAAGGGGGGGGGCTGAGAAACCGCAGCCCCGCTGCTGCAGCCTCGGGGGGTTCACTGCCCACCTCCCCCTCCCTCTCCCCGGCTCACGGGATGCGCTGCCCGGGCTGTGCGGGAGGAGGGGGGGGCTCGCTCGGGGACCCCCACATTGGGGGCTGCGCTGGCTGGGCGGCCGTGAGAGGGGTGAGGGGGGTTAAACAGCCACCTCCTGCCCGCTCCCTGCGCCCGGAGTGTTTCCCGGGTATCCCCGAGGGCTGCAAGATGCGATTCCCACCCCCCCCTCCCCCGAGGAAGCAGGTACGTGACGGGGATGCCGCAGTCAGGGCAGCCTTTGGCCTCCCTCTTCCTCGTCAAGGACACACCCCGGGAAACCCGGAGAGGTCCCTCCTCGACTAAATTAATTTCCCTTTTCTTTTTTCCAGCGGGTTGGCCAAGCCGAGGGGTCCCAACAGCCCCCCCAGGGGTGACCCAGCCCCGGGCACTGAGATCCGGCCCCACCAGGTACCACAAAACCTCTCGGGGATGGATTTTTGGCGGCAGGGAATCAGGCAGGGGAGGCTGAGCAACAACCCCCCCCCCCCGCCCGAGGGACCACCAGTGCCGTGGGGCATCATTCCTGCTCCTTCCCACAGGGAAACGCTGTTCCCCCCCCCGGACACCTCATGGATTTACCCCCAAAGTTCATTTTGCGGCCGGGACCCAAAAGTCGCGCTCTCAGTTCTCACCCACCGCTCCAAAAAACCGGGGGGTTGCTAAAAACGGGGATCACGAGCGCTGGAACGCCGGGATCCCCTCCCGGCCCGGCTGTTTTCCCACCCTCCCAGACCCACCTGCCACTGCCAGGAGCAGGACCAGCAGCCGGGGGACGCGGGGCCGGGCGGGGCCGGGCG